ATATATATATATATATATATATATATATATATATATATATATATATATATATATTTGACGTATAATATTTGTTCTTTGAAACAAGTCCCATGGAACACATTTATCATAAGTACACACTTGTTGTTTGTGGCTGTAACATCATTGTAAACGCGCTTTTACGAAAAAGTGTGGGTAAAAACCTTTTAAGTTTGACAACTTTCAAAAGTGGAGTTTGTTCAGGACGCTGTTGAATCCAGCTTAGCCGTACCCTTTGTTAATCAATAATTGCTTCCAACGTCTCTAATCTCATCGCCACACCTATCGCCACACCTAAACGTAATCTATATATTAACAGCATTAACTACATTTACTCTTAAGGTTCTAAGATAAAATTAATTGACAATACGTGGAATAGCCTCTAATTTATATATTAGAGACATTACCTACATTTACTCTTAAGGTTCTAAGATAAAACCAATTTAATTGACAATATTTGGACTAGCCTAACATGTATTTAAACCATATCAAATAACATGAGGTAGGTGATGTGGGACTTTCAACATTTACCATACATGAAAAACATTACATTATTTTAAGAAAACATTATATTTTAAAACTATATATAATAGTTTGATAATTTGCTGCTGTCTAAATGTTTTAATTAAGAGTTAATAATAAATGTTTCTATGTAATTAAAATTTAATGATGTTTATGATTTTTGAAAAGAACTTGGTCATTGTGAAGAATAATAACGTGTAGGAACACCGTGAGATTTGCCTCTTAGCCTAAAATATCGGAGACATGTAAATTGCAATTAATGCTAATCATGGGGCATAGGATATGCAAAGCTCTAGCTAAATTGTCGGGGAAGAATCTTTGCGTGTTAAAATTTTACATGATTTTTTAATTAACTATTATATATATTTAGAATAATTAAATAATAGAACCTTCTATGATGATTATTCAAAGATATATAAGAACAAAGTTTTCCCGAGTAAATTATATTCACTTTTTATTTTATGCTTTATCTAGTTTTAAAACCTAATTTGTTTCCTTATATTTTGAAAATGACACACTTAAATATTCAAACCTCTTCTATTCCATGAATTTAACAAAAAATATAATTGTTGTAGATTTTTTGCTATTATTATTATTATTATTATTCAGAAAACCTTTCTAATTTTTAAAAATTAAAAATATTCTTATTTTATGAAAATACTGCACTTGATTTCAAAACCTTCTTTATAATGCATTTAACAAAAATATCGTCATCATAGTTTTTTTTTTCTCATTATATACAATAATCCTTCCTATTTTAAAAAAGAAAAAAATGTTTTATTTGATAAATGCATTACAAATAAATTTATATTCTTTGTTAAAATTTAAATTTCTAAAATTTTCAAAATATAATTGAAATAACATACTAGAATAAATAATGAATAAAATAAATATCGAGTATCTTCAAAACATGTAATTAGGATTATTTTGAAATGGTTTTGCATACATCGAACTAAATCTTAATCACAATCATTTCATTTTGAAATAAATAGATGATGGATCTTGATATTTCGAATTATAATTCATTTTCTAATGATTCTATCTTACTATTTAATCATATATCCTTATTGCTTAAATATTTATTAATTTCAAAATTTTACTATCATAGAGAGATTTAATCATTATTAATTTATAAAATATAAACAGTTTTTTTGTGTTGAATAAAATCTTTTCTGTTAAAATCTATATAAAAATAAAGGTTTAGTAGTATAGTACGTACCGAAATAAGAATTATTTTATATAGGTTTTACAACAGATCACGGATCTTGACCATTAATCTTAAGGGGTCAAATAATATATTATTAATAAATAATAAATAAATATAAAAGGAAGAAAGAAGATGAAAGAGTGAAATGATAAAATTATAGATATATTAAATGATCATTAAGTTTGGGGGGACAAAATAATAAATTATATGAGAGTTACAAAACTGAGGAGGGACTGAGAGGATAAAATTGTAAATATACAAGTAAATATATTAAATGATCATTAAGTTTAGGGGGCAAAATCATAAATTACATAGGAGTTACAAAACTTTGGGAGGTCACGTCCTAAGAAGATCCACGACTGTTTTACAAGTAAGTAAGATATTATTATATTATAGGTGTCCATTAGAGTTTTTTCAATTATATAAGGTGATCTATAATGGAGTTGCTTATAAATGTTGATTAAAGTTAAACAATGTTTCTTAATAAAATTTTGTTTTATGAGCAAATGATGTGGTGTTGTTTATATAACAATGATGTTTTGCTTTAGAAAAAAATTAATTAAATAACAATGAAAATAATATTTTTAAGTATTAATATTGAGGTAACAATATATTTATAAATTTAGGTGAAACACCCACTTAACAATAAAGTAATTTCTTTAGGTAGATTCTTTAAACTTATGTGACATTTAAAACTTACACAATCAAAATAAAAGTAGAAAAAAAATCATTTATTTGATCATACATTATCATCTTCTAAGAAGTATAATTGAGAAGTATGGTAGATAGAATATTTTACTTAATATTATTATAAGATCATGTGACCATTTTAAATAAAAAAAACCCATCCTCTTGACTATTAATATCAACGCAGATAGATTTTCAAAATCTTAAAATGTTAACCACCATGTTAATTATGCCCCATATTTTAATAGTTGCACCCACCACTTTGGAGTCCAATTATATATACCTACTAAAGTTAGCAGTCACTAATTGCAATTTATAAATCCGATATTCAGGGAGTTCTTTATCGTGCATCATGAATTGCATACTACGACATAAAAAATTATATGTACTCTTTTCATTAAACACAATCATTTTGATAAATCATATCATAGTGAAACTTGCAATAAGTTGTCTTAAACGAAGTCTATCAAAAATAGAGAAATGATACTTTTAATCTATAACCAAATGACAACTTTTTAGAAAAATAAAAAATATTTTTATCACATAATAAAATGATAACTTTTAATTTAATACAATAATAAAAAATAAGTTAGATTTTTACTTTAATATTATAATAAAATTCCATCATAAATCAATTGTGAATATGTAAAATAACGTACTAGATATTTAAATCATATCAATAAAATAAACGAAGTAAGACTTTCAATAATATTATCCTTCAATTATTACAATGTCATATGTGAAATATTTTTAATTTTTATAATAATTACTTTAAAATTCAAATACATGTATGTATTTGTTTATTATTGTTGTTAGTGTGAATCCTTAAACTAACTATATATTAAAAAATTTTAAACGTATCTAACAACATGCACTATGATACCCTTTAAATATCTTTCTTTTTGCTTACTTAAAAAATCATACTTTTTTTCTCTGAAATTTTCTATTCATCGGAGCACACATGCTTTATGTAATGTCCATCAAAACCAGGTGCAAAGCAAGTGAGTTTCCTATAATATTGTCAAACTAGTAGATACATATAACTGTCATCGGGTGAGAGTGTGCCACTTGGTTAATCATCGAGAGGACTTTGAATTCCACTGTTTCACGCGTGACAGTCAAAAAGCTATGAGATAGAGCGCAATAACAACCAGTTTCATCAAGATATGTATTAAATATATGAATCATACACCATTCAGCAAGAAAACTAAAAAAAAAAGTGTATCCCAAACTCATAAAGCAATAGTACAACGACTATAATCACTTTTTTTTTCTACACGTGTCCTCTTCTCATCTCTAAATCATGAAATTCTGTTGACCTAATGGTTACCTTTTGATAATAGTGCTGGTGATTCGGCTGGGGCAGTTTGGCCGCCATGTGTACATTGAAGTACCACCAAAATATATAAATTCAGAGGGTGATTATCACCAATAAACAAAAATGGAGTTGTCCAATTACTTTAAATAAAAATAGGTTATACAGCTCATGATAAATTATTGGTATAAATTTCTATGTGTATAGAAATTATACGAATAGCATAAACGTATAGTGAGTTATTTGGGTCAGACAATCCCAATAAGAAAAATACGAGAAATCAAACCTTTTATTATTGATCATTTGTTATAGTCAATTGAGACTCGTATTCTGTGTTTATTAAGATTATTTTATTGAATGGTACACACAAAAAACATCATTTTAATAAGAATATGAAAGTAAAAGTTGCACTCTTGAAAAAATGTCTAAAGAAGAATGTTTTGAGTGATGAAGGAAATGCAAATAATACTAGGAAAGGAGAGGTGGTGTTTAAGGCTGCGAAAAGAAAGGACTTGAAAGAAGACATATTAGGTACGTAAGTGGTATTGAGTAAAGGGTTGGCCCATGTATTAATTGTAGAACGACACTACACCTACACTTACAATAATAATATATTGAGTTGGCAAATCATCGTATTGATCATTGTTATTTATCAATTACTACTTTAGTTATATAGATTCATCATTATTATTTCTCGTTTTAAAAAACATTTTTAATGTCATATATGTGGTAGTAATAATATAAAATATTAATGGTCTATTTCTCTCATTTTTTTTTAATTTTTTTAAAATTGCTTCTCTATAATATATTTTAGGGAGTTATTATTCGTTTTACTTTGGAAAAGATTAAATATTTTTTCTTAGAAGTTTATTAATTTTGAAAAGCTTATTTATGGATTTTCAAAGCATAAAATAATAACCTTAAAAAATATAAGATTTTTATTTGGCCACAAAAGCATCGAATTTTGTTTTGGCTTCTGTGTGGCTTTCAAAGCAATGTGTTGAAAAGCAATCATTCATAGTTTTATAATGTCCATGCAAAGTTGTTACATTTCCATCCCAATTCCCTCGTGCATGAGCCAGCCACATCCTTATATATAGTGCCTCATTCTCCTCTATACTCGTGACAGTTGTGAGACACAGAAAGTAAGCAAGAGCAACACAGTTTCTTCTTTTCTCACCTGTAAACCCTTCTCTCCCTTCAGACAAGGGACGAAAAATCAGAGAGAGAGAGAGAGAGAGAAATTCCAAGACCATGTCCCACAGTCCTTTAAGTTTCGTCTTTGGGGTTCTAGGTATCTGTCCACACAGAATTTTGATCATTCGCATTCTCTTCTTATTTTTCATTACTGCATGTATATACTCCTATGAAGGTTACAGAGGATGTGACATTCTTCCTATTTTGTTGTAAATGTTGCAGGTAATGTTGCCTCCTTCGTGTGCTTTTTGGCACCACTGTAAGTCTAAATCTTCATTAAATCTACTGTTAATTCATATTTGCCAGACATATTTGAACTATATATAGTAATATATATGCAGACAAATTTGCTAATAAAAATAAAAATATACACATGTTGCAGACCAACATTTTATAGAGTTTGTAAGAAGAAATCAACTGAAGGGTTCCAATCAATTCCATATGTGGCTGCACTCTTCAGTGCAATGCTTTGGATCTTCTATGCCTATGTGAAGACCGGAGAAACGCTTCTTATCACCATCAATTCATTCGGTTGTGTGATAGAGACAATTTACCTTGCCATATTTATCACTTACTGCCCCAAGAAAGCTAGGGTAAATATACAATTTATACATCTTAAACTAGGATTATATATTCAAACTTTTCCCACTTTGTGTCCCTCATTAGTTGTATGGTTTGTAACATTATCTGAGACTGTTTCTGAAAACTTTCAGATGTCGACATTGAGGATGATTGTTTTGTTAAATTTTGGAGGATTTTGCACGATTGTCCTCCTAACCCACTTACTAGCAAAAGGGGTAGGTCGTGTCAAGCTTCTGGGATGGATTTGTGTGGTCTTTGCTACTAGTGTTTTTGCAGCACCATTAAGCATTATTGTGAGTATTTACTTCATCAACCTAGAACCTTCTTTCTATTTTTAATCTCATCATGTCACGTGTTATTAAATTAAAGAATAAATGGTCTAAAAATAAACAGTACGGACGCATTTTTATTTTTTTTACAAACTGTATAAAAAATTGATTATTTCATAATAATTACTGTAAAATACATACAAACTATGATTTGATTTCTACCCCACATGCATAAAAATCAAAATTTTAAATTAATTAGTCTTACTGTTGTTGTATTTTAATAAATTCAGTGGAAATATCTAGACTAATCACGAGTGCATGGTTAATTGAATTTGTTTAAACTTTTCAGAGGGTGGTGATTCGGACAAAAAGCGTGGAGTTCCTTCCTTTCCCTCTTTCAATGCTCCTTCTGATAAGCGCAATCATGTGGCTGTTATATGGTATTTCGTTGAAGGATATCTATGTGACGGTAAGTGTGATCATGTTCATGCACAAGCCATTGTGTGTTTCCCGTACCCACTATTTTGTCTTCTAGGATAATGCACAGACACACATATGACACTGTCTTCTGTTTCTCTTGGACAGTTGCCGAACGTTGTGGGGTTAACATTTGGAGTCATTCAGATCGTGCTCTACGCAATGTACAGAAACAACAAGCCCCAAAAGGATGAGAAGTTACCAGAACACAAAGGGGAAATCGAAAACAGTGAAAACGTTGCTCCAACAGTGACCGATGAGAATGAAGAACAAGAAATGAACCCTCACGCCGGAGATATTGAGATTGGGGAGAAGAAGGAAGAGAAGAAGGAAGGGCAACAGCTTGAGGAGAAGCATGAGAAAACAGAACTCAACAACAAGGAAAACATCAACAAGAAAACAGAGGAGAGGGAGAGATCCGAAGTTTGATGGAAGATCAGTGTTGTTGGGTTTATCTCTATCTCTCTCTATTTTACGTGTAAACTTAGTAAATTGTGAAAAAAGGGGCACAGACGGTGTAGATATCAATGCCTATTTCTATCTCCCTACAGTTATTTAACTTATTTTGGTTCACTATTTTATGTAATTTCTGTTTTCTTTACTCAAGCTAATTAATTGTGCCCCCAAATATAGGGAACTTCATAGAGTTCATATATTATTGTTGTTGTAGTTGTAAAAGCTTTTCCAAACACCTTCCACACTGAGGGCTGATCCAGTGGGCATGAAGACTCTCTAATTATGTAATTTCCTCCATTAATAAGTAATTTTTATTATGTGTGGTGGTTAATTTTGTTTTGCTATATACAAAATTTTATGAAAAACTTATAAAACTTTTTTACACTACTATTTAATTATAAATTTACTATTTTGTTATAATAAAATCGTAGGTAATTCCTAATTGATTATTCAGATAGAATTTACACTCACCGTTAACTTGAAATTTTATTATACTCTATTGAAAATACTTTGTTACGATAACGATGTAGCAACTAGGGACAAAATTTTAGCAAACTTGAAAGAGACAGAAACCACTCAAACGACACATTCGCCGCAAATATTCTATGAAGGAGAGCATAATTATTGTATGTTTTGCTCTGTTCTACTTTCTTCTTCTTCCTAGTTTTATTTTTCCCCACACTCGTTGGAGTAATTTGTTAATTATGCTCGTCACCAGAAATAAACAATAATAGAAGTTATTTGATACGAGATTTAGTGACTAGTATTTCCATGAAAGGTAACTTTTGTTCAGAAATAAATAATAATAATAAAGGTGGGTAAACGTATTTTTCTTGATAAAGATCTCCGTGTGAGGATTGTAAATTTGTACTTGCGATCTTCCAGGATAGACACTAGATAAGGGCAAGGATCATATGTGAGATATAAATATTTAGAGTTATGGAGTAGGATCAGATATGAATATCTAGAGTCATATCTAGTTATGGTGTAGGATTGTTCCAATTTTTAAGTGCTTGCCCCCTTTTTTATTAGAAAAATTGTTTGAGTTTTTTCATTTTATATTTATAGGAATTGAATGTTAGAAAGTTGATGTTCAACCAACTGAGTTAGAGTCTCTTAGCACTTTGATTGTTCAAGTTTTTCATCATTTTTCAGAACTAAATGTTGAATATTGAATTAACTATCTTCCTATACAAAATAAATATTAAATTATTCTAAGAGAAATTTTGAAAAAGTTTTTTTTTTCTTTTAGATTAAAATAGAATATTATGTTTATTTTCAAAATAATTTCATCTCTCTCTCTCTCTCTCTCTCTCTCTCTCATATATATATATATATATATATATATATATATATATATATGGAAACTAATTCCTTTAAAAGCATAATAATCACTAAAGCAAGTTTTTTTTCTCCTAACAAAAATATTTGTGCATACATATGGCATGGAATTAAACCGATTTTTTTTTATAACTATTCAAAATATAAAATAAATATTTAAATAATTAATGTTGAAAATAATACTCTTAACAACCCCAAACTTGCTTCATCTGTTGTCTGTATGGAGCCCTTTCAATTGTTGGGTGAGACATGTTCAATTATGGAAAAACACACGTGATTGTTCTAATATTCAATTTTCAAAAAGATATTAAAACTACGAAAAAAATGATAAATTATGAGGACGATTGTCCCATGTTATCTTAATAAGATTTTTTTTTCTTATAACTTAGAATTAAAAAAGAATTTCTCTCAACAAAAAAAAAGTTAATTTTTTTATTAAAAATTCATATATTTATGGGTTTGCATTACAAATAAACGTACACTATGGACAATCATGTGCCCTAAGTACCAATTAATTTTTATTATATAATATTCAATGTTCACAATAATGTTTTCAATATCTACTAGTAATTAAATTACACTATATAATCTTCAATATTACCATCTAAGATTTTCACTCAATCCATACTTAACTAATTTAATTAAAAACACGATAAAAATTAAAAAAGTGTTCCGTCTAGATAGTGTCTTGATTTTATATATGTTATAATAAAATTGTCAGAGTCAATTCCTATTTCCGAGATATTGTCCTTAAAAGACGCATAAGTGGATTGAAAGAGGAAGATGTATATAAACTACATTTGGTCTCAACTCTTAAGCGATGTGAGACTTGTATACTCGAATAAGGTGATGTATACTCGTATGATCCCAGATAAGGTAGATGTAGATTTTGATAAATCATATACTTGAGTAAGATGTGTATGAGTCATATAATCCTGATTAAGATAAATATAAGTTTTGATAACTCGTATACTTGAGTAAGGTATATATAACTCGTGTGACTCTTAATAAGGTAGATGTAGATTTTTATAGTTCATATACCAGAGTAAGGTATGCATAACTCATGTAACCCCGAGTAAGGTATGTATAACTTGTGTGATCCCGAGTAAGGTAGATACAAGTTTTGATAATTCATATACTTGAGCAAGGTATGTATAACTCATGTGATCTCGAATAAGGTAGATGCAAGTTTTGATAACTCATATACCTGAGTAAGGTATGTATAACTCATGTGATCTCGAGTTAGATAGATGAAAGTTTTATGTAACTTGGATCTTTATGATGTGCAAGGTTTATATAACTCATTTTCTGAGTGAAATATATCTTATGACTCGTTTGTTTGAGTTAAATGTAATTTTATATTCGTTACTCTGAGTTGAATGTATTTTTATACTTGTTTGACCCTAAGTAAGATATATGTTTATACTCGTGTGATTTTAAGTAAGATATATTTTATATTTGTATGGCCTCGAGTAAGGTTATATTACATTTTTATACTTATGTGATCCCGAATAAGGTATAATTTTTAGGAACTTTTTTTATCGAGTATTTTGTACAATCATAATATTGTTGTCAATCATCCATAAAAAAATATGTAACATGCATTGAATTAAGGAGAATCTTCAACACTTGTACATGCCATAAGCAAAAAAAAAAAAAATATATATATATATATATATATATATATATATATATATATATATAAGTTAAAATCCCATTAAATATCAAGAGTTAAAACTCATATCAATTGATACACAAATAGAAACATTACTATTCTGATGAAATTTTGTGAAAGATATTGACACAATACTCAAGAAAGAAGAGAATGTGAGTGATAAATCATGAGGATGATCATTACATATTATCCTAATAAGATAAACAAGGTTCTTATAGCTCAAAACTCCAAAAAAATAAATATCTCTCAACAAAAATACTTAATTTTCATTCAAAATCCAAATATCACTCCTATAAATGTCCACCAAGTACCTAATTCATTTTCACTAAATAGTATTCAATGTTCATTAGCAAGTAAATTGTTAAGTATGTGAAGTTTGAAGGGTTATTGGGCCTGACCCATTTACTTATTCTTTTATTATAAATACTCATATAATTGTAAACTTAATTGTGTGAATAAGATCTATCATCTAGTACAGTCGTGGACGTAGATCACTTTGACTGAACCACATAAATTCCTTGTGTTCTTATTATTTACTTTCGTCTTGTATTGCATTTGTGTTCCCAACAATTGGTATCAGAGCTTAGGATTTTTTCATGTGAGTGGGAGCAATGGCTGAAGACGGGAAAGTGAAGATTGATATGTTTGATGGAAGCAATTTCAACTTTTGGAAGATGTAGATTGAAGATTATCTTTATCAGAAAAAGTTGTACCAGCCTTTGTCTGAGAATAAACCAGAAACGATGTCTCAGGCAAATTGGGAGTTGTTAGATCGACAGGCTTTGGGCGTTATCAGATTAACATTGGTGAAGAATGTTGCCTACTATATTATCAATGAGAAGACGATGTATGGTTTGATAAAAGCATTATCAAATATGTACGAGAAGTCATCGACATCAAACAAGCTATTTTTGATTCGTTAATTAGTTAATACGAAGATGCAAGAAGGTGTTAGTGTTACAGATCATGTGAATGAATTTAATTCCTTATTGTCAAGATTAGTGTCAGTGGATATTAAATTTGATGATGAAGTACAAGTCCTGTTATTATTATCTTCGTTGCCCGATAGTTGGTCAGGAACTGTCACGATAATAGCCAATACATATGAGACTATGAAATTAACCTTTGAAGGAATTGGGGATTTAATCCTTAATAAGGATGTTCGTAGAAGGAATTCTGAAAAATAAACAAATTTCTTATTTAGCACTGAAGGAAGAGGTAGAAAGCCTGAAAGAGGGAAAGGCTCTAGACGTGGTAGATCAAAGTCCAAGGAGTAAAGACAATCCAAATCTTCCAAGGATATTACTTGTTGGAATTGTTAGTAGAAGAAACACTTTAGGAATCAATGTACTGTTCCTAAATAAAAGAAGGATGATAATACAATGAATGCAGTAGAAGAAGAAGACAGTGATGATGCGTTGATATGTTGTGTTGAGAAAAAGTTTGTGTTAGAATCGCGCAGCAGAATGTTCGCGTTTAAGGACAAAAACCAAGAGGGGAGTGAATTGGTTTCTTAAAAAAAATTAGGGTTTTGAAAATTTTCCCCAAATTTTACCGATTAAAATGCTTGTAATGTAAAGAGATAAAGGAAAGAAGATTACACAGATGATTTATATTGGTTCAGATCAAAATACCCTACGTCCAGTTGTTAATCGCTCTAAAAGAGGATTAACGCTGTCACTATAATCACAAGTTACAACAGATTACAAATTGAAAAAGATAAGGATTAGAAAACACCTCTCTTGAGTCACACAAGAGATAAATACCTCCTTTGAATCCACAAAGGATGAACAATAGTTTTTCCTAGAGACGACACAACACACAATCCACCAAGAAACCCACTCAATGACTCTTATCGCTTCTAGCCCACACTAGGTCTTCAAAAGCCACTTTTTCTTTCCTACACAAAGTCCTCTAGCAACCACAACTCTTAACTTTTGTATGAAAAATGATTGTT